CACCAACTGCAGCCCCACCTCTGCCCTTTTTGCTGTCAGAGATTAGCACAGGGGGCCGGCCCACCTGCCACAAGCAGCCTGCAAGCGACTTGTTACTGGTGTGGGGTGGGAGTTTAGTCTGGGGGGAGGGAGTGGCAGAGGGGTTCTGTATGTGCACATCCCTGGGGATGCCTCCTCCTTTGGGGGGGGCTACTTTTGCAGAGCTGCAGGCTGGGTGCAGGGGTAGGGAGCCCCTTCCCCAGTACCCCACTGAGCTGGAGCCAGCGCTGGAGCCTCAGCCTGCAGGCAAATGGCCGGGCAGGGAAGAGAGCCTCTCCCCCGCTCCCAGGGGGCCCGAGAATCCCAGCGCTGCCCCCCTGCTGGTGCATGCACTGGGGGCACACAGATGTGGGGCAAGAGGGGGGATGAAGGGGGATGCGGAGTCAGGATGGGAGGGGGCATAGGGTAATGCAGGGGATCAGGCTGCAGGGGGAGAAATCATGGGGCTGAGGGGGGAGGGAGATACAATTATACTTTGCAGAAGCTGCACTTTCCTTTACACCCCACTTCTTTTCCTCCCTCCCCAACTAGCTATTTGGCTGCATTCTCACCCCCTCACCTTTTCCAGGTTACTGCCCCTCCTGCTGCCAGACTCCCTTCCCTCCTTACCCCATCCTGCACCCCCGACATCGCACTTGGGGAAGTTCACAAACTCTAGAATCCCAGTAAAGTAAATCTGGCCTGTAGGAAGCCCTGAACCTCCGTCCTCCCTGCCCCTTCCCCATGGGGCTGGGGTGCTGGAAGAGTGAGGCGTCTGGGGGCCACATCAGTGAGGTTTGGGCGATTTAGAGAGGAGTTTTTTGCTTCCCTTGTGTGGTCCCCACTGATTTTTCTGGGGGTCAGTGACCCCAACTCAAAAAGGGTTCCCCACCCCTGCCATAAAGAAATAAAACATTGAAACTTTGTGTTGGACATAATGTTTTCATTTAGCAAACTCATTTTAAATAAAGTAACAAAATTAAAATGCTTAATCTGTTTAATAATTTAAATTAAATAGTTCCCCCCTGCTGCAGCACTAGCAAACGAGCTCAGGCATAATTATATAGCTAATGGTGAGTTTCCATTAGCAAGTGGTAGTCAGGGGAAAGGTTTGACTTGACCCAGGTGGTCTACAGGGTGTGTAGTGGGGAGAGCCCTGTCCCCAGTCCCCCCCGTTCCCCGCAAGAGCAGAACAGCCCAGGGCAGGAGGGTTAAATTTTAGCAAGCCACTTTGGAAAGGTTGCTGACCCCTGCATTTAGCTCCCCCCCCCCCTCCAA